AAAAAAAAAAAGGGGGGGGGGGTGAGATGGATAAGGAACTGGTAAAAGAAAATAAAACTCATGTACAGACAGTAACTTGCAGTGAATGAACCCTTTTTTTTTTGAAACTTACAAGCTTCTTCGACCATGTCATGTCATCATCCTAGAACAGAGTTCTACCGAATTCGAGGCCGATTTTAGCCGAATGCATCGTTGGTTACACATACAAAATGATACAGGAGGAGGCACAGATAGACGCGAAATCAAAATTCACTACTCTTCCATGAAAGAAAGCAGAAAAGCTTTGAAAGGGGAATGGCTTACGGTTTTTTTCACTGGACAGAGGCATCAAACCTTGGCTCATAAAAGCAAACTTGGCTGTTGCATGACTGAAGTGCACACCCAGCAATCCAAGACCAGACCTTCTTATCCACATCGTACAGAAGACCTTTCCCTTGATTCCACGATGTAAAGCATATCAAGTTGTCTTGCCCAAAGCACTCAAATCTCTCTGCCGACAGTCTCAACAGTGCTCGGAAGTACTTTGGCGGCATCCTACTTATCTCCACCCACGTAATCTTTGCGTGATCCAGCTCCCATACCCTCATGCTTTGAAGGGTACTGTAAAGGCCAATCCTTCCCACTAGAAACAATCGCTTCTGAGTCCCCGCAACCAAGTAACCATCTAACAAAGACCTCGGGAATTTAGCTGGAATGTGTTCCCATTTCCCTGTATCAAGACGGTACATCATCAAACCGAGTGGCGAGAGAGTCTCTAGATATAACCGGGAATCACAGTAAGCCATTTTTGACGAGCATAGGTTAACCGCAGGCATTATCTGGTGTATTGACCATCTGTCAGTTTTAGAATCATACACTTCGGTAGGCAGAGACCTGTCCCCATATATATCACTGGTGGCTATGACTTTGAACGATCTGTCTGAGCGATCCACAACCATTATCAATTGCCTCTGTTGGTTGTAGTGCATACTCGGCAGAGCTCTCCACTCTTGTGTCAAAGGATTACATACTAAAGTTTTAAAAGTGAGTCCATCGAGCCCCGAAAAGCAAACGAGACCACCTGATGAACCAACCAACCAGAAAGCCCATGGCGGCAAAAAGCTGAACGGAACTTTGTACCATGATTTCAATGGCAAGCTAAAAACCGAGCACTGCGATATCTGCGAGTTCTTCCAGAATGTGAGAAGACAAGGCCCGTGAGATGGCACTTGAGAGTGAAACTTAAGGAAACTACTGTCTTGAAGAATCGAGTTCCATCTCTTGCAAACAGACCGGAGCCGAAATATCATAAACGGTGGGACCCTAGCTAAAATCTCATTCAGCAAGTCCTCCGGCAGCATTGCCCATATACTGTCCTCCATCTGAACGTCTGGATGGGCTGGTTTACCGAATGTAGCAACCGTCTCTTCTTCGTCTAGGCCACGAGGTTTCGTCTTAACCACCTTCTTCCTAGAGGGACTAGTGTTTCTCGACCCGACTCGGCCTGAAGGGCTTGTATTTCTCGACCCAACAGTCCTCATCGGTGAAACTTGCTGCCGGGAACTCTCTTCATTTCCAGAAATCCCACTTCTCGTGGACGGAGAGCAAGCAACAATAGTTCCAGAATCTGATGATTTTCCGAGACTACCCATGCTCATCAATCCCCAAAACCCTAGACGCTCCGGTTTCATTCAAATCAAACCCGAAAGCTTACAGGCTTTAGATACAAACTATCAAGCTCAGATGTCAATTTCACGGATTAGACGACTACCCAGAAATCCTAAACCCTTGAAGCTCAACGGGTCATCGGCAAAACAACGTGCCACTACTAAGCGCAAAAACCCAAACTCTTTCGCATCAGATCCCCGAATGAGGATCTCGCAGACGAAAAACAGATAATGCGCGACGAAAAGCTCGCAATCGGGTATTAATCGAGCAGAAGACGCATGAAATCGCATAGATTGAAGGTAGAACGAAGGTTACCTCAGGATTTCTGCAAAACCCATCGTTGTTTGGCGTCCATGGAAAGAATCCCAGGTGGGTTTTTTTCCCTCGAGAACAGCGCGAGAGAAAGAGACCTAATCTGCCAACTCTCGACAAATTTTCCTTTTTCTTTTTAATTTCGGTTTGTCAGTATTCGAAATGAAGAAAAGGGGGCTAAACTGCAAACTACAAAAACACTGGGGAGGAAAGTTTAAAATTTGGAAAGAAAGTAGTCTGACACGCACCTCTTAAGAGATTTTTTCCCCCCAAGCCAAAATCAGATGAAAATATATATATATATATATATATATATA